CGCACGAGAGTGATAATCAAAACGCTTTGTGCACATATATTTCAGTGCAAGTCCACTGAACTTCTACTGAACAATATCACGGTGCGGTCATTCACCACACATATAATGTGGCTCCTTCGACGGGCTTTACAATTTCGGCACGTGGAATACAAATTAAAAATTTTCAATGTACTATAGTATAAGCTGCTCACTGAGCTCGCTCGTAGTGCATGTTTAACACCCCTATCCGCACTATATCATCTTTCAAAGACAAAAAAAAAAAAAACAGCCTCTAATCAGCATTCTAATCAACATTTTTTTTTTTCGTTTTCTTCGAACTTCGCACATTTATGTGCAGATTGGACCCGCGATAGTCCGGCACTGATGCGATGTAGGCGTGACACTAAGCATCGACAAAAAGGCTTAAGAACAGAACACCGAATTCAATGGCAACAGCCCTATCAGTACTGCGCATGTGCAAAAGGCAGAGCCAAACAACTTCAGATTCTGCGCATGCGTGTAAACACACAGTACCGTCATAATCAAAGTTCAGCGTGCCTGCCGCTTCTCTCGGCTGCTCGCGGAACAGGCGTCACAGTTCCTATCGCTGCATCCGCGGAAAGAGTTAAAAAACACTCCCAAGCATTTCTCCGAGGGTGAACATGGTTAAGTGCGAATGCACGGGGTGATGCTATGAGGGGTTTTTATTAATTCGCACTATTATATTTATTAATCACACTATGGTGCCTTTATGGTGTAATGGTTCCTGGGAATCGCAATTTGATCACACGGGGGAGTTTACGTTAACTCACTGGCGAATGCCAACGGATTTTAACGGGGGAGGGGACGCGCGTAGCGGCGTTAAAGATATAAGGCGCGTTACTGACAGCTCTGAAAATGACGCGGCACGCAGGTTGAGTAAAGTCTGCCTTTTGACGGGTAAACTGCCATAACAAAGGAACGCCGAAACGCTGCCACGCATGCACGTTCGCAAGACGCAAAACACAATTACGCTAATGTCTCTGGTGTCAATAGTCGTCCACCGGATAATTCAATTATTTTCTCTCTCTCTCTCTCACTCGAACAATTTGTCAGTTGGTCTCTGAAGCTTACTTTCATAATCTGGCTTTGGTGTGTCCCGTCCTTCCCGAATCGTTCGTCGGATGTGTTATGGAAGACAGCAGGCAACAATGAGTGATATTTCAGTACGATTGAAACTACACATGGCATGCTTTGGCCGCAAATGACACACGCAAAGTAAAGGCATACTCAACGACAAGCACAAGCGACAATCCGCTTGTGGTCTTCGCTGAGTGTTCTTTTACTTTGCGTGTGTTATATGCGGCCAAAGCATGTCATTAAGCAAATACCAACTAGGCCAACAATCAGTATTGTTTAAGCTATACAGCATGTATGTAATATTCTATCAGTCTTTCCTTCCCTTACACTAGTGTAGGGTAGCATAGCAGACAATGCTCTCCCAATCGCCCTAGCTATAATTGCATTTTCCTTACTTCTCTCGCTCATTCTCTCTCAAGCGAATATGCGAAATACGAGACTTGATGACGCAGTAAGCGCGGCTAACGGTGGCGTGCGCGTGTTGACGCATGTTTTGCTGTGACGGAAGGATAACCTCCGGTACTGGATGAAGCGCAGGGGCGAGCACACTGCCTATAAGTTCGGAGGTCACGCTCCTGTGTTCCCAATCAGGCCAAGTGATTATGCGACATCTATAGGCTAATATACAAACGTACCCCTGAAAGACCTCGTGCTCATTCCTCTGAATCAAAGTACAACGAATACCCAGCCACATGCGTGAAATACGAGCCGTCTAAAGCGACAGCTCCGGCTTTCACCGAAGAAATAAATTTTCAAGGAGGACACATCAGGAAACTCGAAGAAACGGTCCCGATCGACGCGATATCAAAACTATCACCGATTCCAAAGACGCGATCCGAATACTTTAGGCGCATTTCACTGGCATGCAGGCGTCAGTGACAGCGCTTTGCCTCCGTATACCAACCTGCAAGGTGACTTTACAATGTTGATTGATTGATATGTGGGGTTTAACGTCCCAAAACCACCATATGATTATGAGAGACGCCGTAGTGGAGGGCTCCGGAAATTTAGACCACCTGGGGTTCTTTAACGTGCACCCAAATCTGAGCACACGGGCATACAACATTTCCGCCTCCATCAGAAATGCAGCCGCCGCAGCCGGGATTCGAATCCGCGCCCTGCGGGTCAGCAGCCGAGTACCTTAGCCACTAGACCACCACGGCGGGGCTGACTTTACCATGTGAACAATGGGAGTGCAAATTGTTTTCAAAGAAGGTAGAAAGCCAAGTGCACCGACGCCGCAGCTAGCTGTTTGACCGATCGAAAACGGCGAGCGCTAACGAAACGCGAGATGGAAAATATTGATTCGCGCACCTGTTTCACGAAGTGGGGATTCTACGCACACAGCAGCTTCCTCTTCATGCCAAATAAATTGAGCGCTGCGTACTAACCTCAGCTTGTAAGACGGCGTCGCTTTCGCGCCTGGACCCGAAGTCGAGACGAACGCGTTTTCGATCGGTGGCCCCGGATCTAATGCATACGGGCACCCTGCTTTTACTCAACTGGATCAAAAATTTTTTCGTACGCACCACGCACCGAGATTCGGCTGAGCGCACGCGGAGTGCATCGTCACGCAGATAACCAGCTATGCCAATTGACCGAATGCGATTTCGCACGCTTATACTTGGTCTTCTTATCAAACTCACGCAGACAGACTTCGGATTCTTAACATGCGCGTCTTTTTTGTTTGCTTTTTTTTTCTCTTTCTCGCGTACGAAAACCGCGATTCACAAATGCCGAGAACTGATTCTTCCAATTTACGGCCACACTGACGAAAAGCTGCATCAGCACAGATAGCATCCCAATGTTTTTTTTTTGTTTTTTTCGAGGAGTAGAAGCGGCATAGCGGTTTCTTTAAGCTGTTATGCGTGCAGCGGTTCTGATTTCCTTCGATCGCCTTACGTTTCGCGCGGCCGTATACATGCACATTGCGCCACGCAATCTGCATACTTCATGCGTATAACGCTGGTTAGCGATGCATTACTTTCTCGTCACTCTCGTCTTTTGCGCTGCAGCACAAGACAAGCAGTTTACCACGGAAAAGAAAAAGAAATGCATGTTCGCTACTATAACAGCAAGTAAAATTAAGGAAAAAAAATACTAGTTTTCGGCTTACCTATAAACGCATTCGTACGGACGCGCACCACACGTCAAGTACTATTATTACGCCCTTTTTATATATACTACATATAAAAGGGCAAACTCACGACGACAGCGATTTCTCGGCACTGACTTAACTAGACGCCGGATCTCACGCAGACCCGGCTGGAACGTACACGACCATGGTTGGGGTGAAGCGATGGGAATCGATGACGAGCTCGCAGTGCAGGAGACAGCGGTCGGCATCCGAGGTTCGTGTAGACGGGATTTGGATTCACGCCACGATTAGGTTTTCCCACGACCACGTCGACGAAAACGCCATCGAAGACGACGCGGGCTAGAAGATTGCCAAGAATGCATGACACAACGGTGCTAGCACTGCACACTCACGAGTCGACTGCAGGAAAGGAAGTTCAACAACAGCGAAAATATACGAGACTTCTACGAGACTTCTACAGACAATTACAAACAGATTCATACAGAAACCCTAGACTCATGCACGCCATGTATCCAAACATATACACTACAAACAGATGCACGTCATGTGGCGAGGTTGCCACCCTTAGTCACATGCTGTGGGAGTGTCAGGGCCTAATAAACAATTCTAACAGCGCCGATTCATGTCACTCTTCCACCGCCAGCCTCCGCTCGCGTTGGAGAACGCACTGTTCAGCTCGAACCTGACGGCACAACTCTGGGCCGTCCAGCGTGGCGAGGAAGCCGCTTCGAGACAAGGTCTCGGAACCACATCCGCGGTGGGTGCCCAGGCCCACTAAAAAACGCCGGACTCGAATCGTCTGGATTCGACAAATAAAGTTTATGTTCTTCTTCTTCTACAGACTGGCACGCGCGAGACGCTAGAGACTTAATCCCCGAGTACATAAAAAAAAGAACGATCAACGGACGCATACCAATGGTACGACAAACAATGCACGGCCATACAATTCCGGAGTTCTACGTGCCAAAAGCACGACGCGATTATGAGGTACACCGTATGTATGTAGTGGAGGATTAATCTTGACTGTGCAGCTGAATCCAAATGCAGGAGTGTTCGTGCATTTCGCTCCCATCGATATGGAGTGGGGGGGGGGGGGGACGAATCGCAGGAACACTGCACTGCAATAGGTGATCAAACCCGCGTCCTCGCGCTGAGCAGTGCAACAGCTTAGCAGCACTGAATTACGTGAGAAAGGCTAACACCACGTAAACTGAAAAAAACACACAGGCGTTTGATGGTGAGAAAAACGGCGTGCGATAAGCATTTCGTGGCTGTTCCTCTTTCGCAAAGAACAGCAGTTTTTTTCTTTTTCACTTTTTTGTAGATGGATGTTATGTAAACGATATTGTTCAATCACGATTGGCGCTTAGTGCTGCTTAGTGCACTCGCTTCTTGAACAAATTAGTTGGAAGATGGCACTTGCACCATGCTTCACGTCTGTATTTCTTAGTCATGCCATTTTACAGGTAGAGTAATCGGAACAAAACTAGAACCAAACAGAGCGTTTGAAACGATCAATCGAGGATGCGTGTAGGATCTGTAAAACGAATCTACTTGGGCGTTCTCACATTCCGACAGGTGTGTGCAGAGTTTTCCGGCCACGACAATGAAGCAGCGCATACAGAAACACATGTAGGGGGGGGGGGGGGGGTGACCACGTGTGCATATGCGACAGAAGCTGCCCGAGGCAGCGGTGACACGTACACAGAGGGATGCCCTCGGCGCCGACATTCTTGGGAGCAAGGACAGCGCGCCCAGAAGACGACTGCACCAGGGCGCACACCGGTGCCCAGTAGTTGATGACGAGGATATCGCCGGCAGTTTACACACGCGACAGCTGCTGCTCAATGGGAGGACGAGCGGGGGCTTCAGGGCGGCGGCTGCCTCCGGACGACGCACAGGCAACCGGTGCGGAGACAGCGGGTCACGGCGGCTCGGATGCGGGAGTACCAGGGCCCTGCAGCCTTCTTCAACGCCGTGTTCTCTGAAAAAGAGCGCAATCATGGAAGAGCCGTGGGGAACGTTTCGTAAACGCCGGATTATGGCTGCAGAACGGCAGTAAACGAAGACAAGACGCATGTCCGTGGCCATAGGCGTGTGCGAGGGGAGGGGCGTCACCCCCTCCACCTCCCGTAATGATCAAAGGTGAGTGCGCCAACTCTGTCTCAGGCCTTTACCCAGTCGGATCATTCACGCCGTTTTTTAATGCACCGGATTATGGTTCTTTTTCGACAATGGCAACGGAGGAACGCCGATGTATTCAACAATTTGTTCACTCCACTTCGTTACCCCGGAATGACAGAAACCAATCGGAGGCCTTTGCGAAAGGCACATGCCATCCCTTCGTTTTCATTTTCGCGCCCATTGTAGAACTCTTTATTTTTTTTTTCAGTCTATCGCTTGTGTCGTCATTCTGCAGGCGTATTGCGCAGTGCATAACCTCATTTACAGTAGAGTAGCCGGGGGCCCACATACATACCCACGTGCTAATGTATAAATAAAGAGCGGTTGAGTCCCCCATATATATATATATATATATATATATATATATATATATATATATATATATATATATATATATATATATATATATATATATATATATATATATTCAACACTCCGATATCCCGTCATGTATGTGCCTCGATATGCAGTGGGATATTGCACAATAGATAAGCTTCCCATTTTACTATGCAAACTGTCACTGAAATGGATTTCAGGATCCAAACGTTGAACGATAGTTTAAGTTTACACAGAAAAGTGCTCAGAAACTGGCGTTAATCCTTCCCTTTGCGTGGGAGACGGCGCTAAGAATACAAAAAGCTTAGACGACAACGAAACCGAACAACTAAACTAATGACGTTACCTCATAGCGAAGCTCCAGATAGGAGCTTCTGAAAAAGTTTCTTCTGAGGGTATTAAAGTTTCAGAACGACCTTCACAAGGAGGAAAACAATGCTAATACAGTATCATAAAAATTGAAGCTTTAAAGTTTAAACAGGTCGTGCTATAGCTATGTTTGTGTGTCCTGCTCGAGATAGATCGATACTTTTGGAGATATTGCGTTGCTCCCTTTTTCTAAAGGAAGTGGTGCGGCACAACAGAAAAAATCCAATGTGATTTGATAGTGTGTAGGGACAAATAGGGATGGTCTTCGTGGCTTCGCAAGTGTAGGAACAAGTAGGGATGTAGATATAGGGTTTTGACAAGGTAGAAAGGAAAATCGCGGGTATCCTATCGCGTTGGAGGCCCTATACTGGGCACGAAATTGTCCTCGGCGCCTGTGCTGTTAACCTGCATGATTTCTTATACGTCCTACGCGGCCTTGTTGTGTGCGCAGCGAAAACAATTTTTTTCGAGCCGCCTATCGATTTCATGTCCCGCACAATATACCGCGGTGTTGCGTTATACGTGCAGGTATATATGAGCGCACCGACAAACCTACAGGCACTATCGACCCTGCCAACCGAATCACAAACGGCGTGAGTCGGGATGTTAGAAGGCGCCGCATTTACTCGTCCGATTCGGGCAGAATCGGACTTCTGAGGTTGCGATATTGCCAAGAGCTGTTGCAACAGGGTGATCGAACACACCTGGCGTTGAGATAAGGCTATAGAAGTGTCGGTAACAATGAACAAAACTTCAGCTCCGGCAGGCACGGCTCATATACGCACCAAATCCATCAAATCTCGTGAAATGTGTGCAGTGCAGCCAAGGTTGCACGCTTGAAGATAAAAAAAAAGTGGCTTTATAAAAATCACGCGTGCGTGCTGCAGATAACACGCGCAAAAGTTATTCATGTTAATCACCGGTTGCTGTTTGGACATATTAGTGCAGAGTGCAGCAAGACTGCTCCTGTCCTGTTTTAAAGCAACAAAATGCGTTAATGAGTAGTGGACAACTCTGTTATTGGATTCAAACTGCGTAGGTTATAATGTCGTCGTTATAACATCGGGCAGCCACTTTTAGCGATAACAAAGCTAGCTTTAGTAAACATTTGCCAGTGTTAATTGTACGGGAGTAAGTGCAGCAGCATGGTTATCGGCCTTTCTTTTACAACGCAGGTGGAACTGGTGCATGACGACATTCTCTTCAAGTGTACAAAAGATAAACATTACTTGCGCAGTCTCGATCGAATGGGAAAATTGTGAAGGCGATGACAAGCTTTGCCTTTTTGTTTCGAAATTACGTCGAGCGGAGTTTGAACGACTATCTTAAGAGACTCTACATGCGCACTGGCGTCAAACACACGACAATATCACACGGAGAGATGCATTTGAGATGGTTTCTGCGGCGCGTAATATCAACCTCACCAGATATTAAACGCGTATCTCTTGATTCATTCCCGCTCTTCACTGGCTGACGCAGACCGCACGGCTTGGACTGCACTGCACGCATATTCAGTTAGACGGGGGACATATATTAGATATTGTGCGGGACGCCGCAGGTGTATTAAGCGTAAGAAAGGCGCGAAAAAGAGACGGATAAAGGCAGGAGTGAGGCTCTAGTTTATTCCTTCATTTTGCGGGGCTCACCGATCCCGCGTTGAAAAAAAATGCGATTGCCCCACCACGCGAGATATAGATAAAAAAAAAAGTAGGTGTGAAAAGCAGCCACTTTGTGCCAAGATTTCCTCGCGAATAACAACTAGAACGACATACACACACGCGCGCTGTGTCCACCTCGTGCAGGTTACTAAGTCCTTTTACTACATATTGGTCAGTTTTTAGCTTTGTATTTTCTTTTATTTTTCTCACATTTCCACGTCTCGTACACAATGGCTTAAAGAAACAAAGATGCGGCCAGCTATGTGCCATCTATGGCGCTGCCACTACCATAAGCCCCACGAGATTGAAAAAAAAAAAAAAACACGGATAGCATTGAAGTCTCACCTGTCACAAGCTCCTCGGCTTTTTCCGGAGCCCTCTGAAAGTTGAGAGATGGGGAAAAGAAAAGAAAGAAAAAAATATGAAGGAATACGCAAGCGGTTAAACAAAACAGAGAACAATATCGTAGTTCACAAGATGATGCGAATCGATTATTTTTTATTTTTTTTTAGAAGGAAGCGGTGGGTGAAGACGGCGAGTGAAGGACCCGCACAAACAATAAGTTTTTGCATGGAACAGACATGACCGGAGGGTGTGTAAAGCAAAAATGAAAAGCAAAAAATAAATAAATAAAGCAGCACAACGTAGCCCCACAAATCCGCTTTGTTCGGCAGAAACCGCCCAGAGTATATCGACGAAAAGCAATCTGTGGACGAAGAACACCGCCAGATTTTCTTTTATTTTCCACGAACAGTGAAGAAGAGTGCGTACCAGAAAAACAAACAGAGGGACAACAAAGCTCGAAAAAAGCTGAGATGTGAACTCGAGTTTGAATAGCGATTCGCGCTGTGAAACGTCGAAACGCGGAGACTTCTGAAAGCAGCATACATCTGCACTGTTCACTACGCATTCTGAATAAAAAAAAAGACGAGCATTAAAAAAATAATAATGCGTGCACACGTGACTTGACTGTTGCATCTCCATGTGAGCGGGCAGATTTGAAGATATGACGATATCATCTGCGTTTTGAGCTGCCTTCACCACTTAAATATGTTAGACGAACTTAAAATTGCCTTATCATCCACTACAATGAGAAATCTTTTGTGCTGTCGCTTTTAATATTAGGGTACCAACACCAATTGGTCACGCAATAAGTACCATATCACTCTTTCCTGAAGACACATATATATGCTGTGGAACAGCTGACCTCTTGGGCGAGCACTTGAGCTTGCTCCAGGATCCCCTTAATGTAGGCGACGGCAAACTCCCGCAGCTCCGGGTCGTTCTTGAGATCGGCAATCTGAAGCGAGAATCGAAATTTCCCAAGCAGCGTTCAACTAAGTAGCAATGAATAATACGACTTAAACTTCAACTGACAGTGCAATAAAAACCGAGTGGAGAGAGAAGCAGACAGGGAGCTAAAAAGGACACCAGCGCTCTGTTCCCTTCCCCACCCGCTTTGTTCTTACGGCTCTGTCAGTTGAAACTTACGTCATGCTCCATCAAGAAGACCAACCGCTTTCCGTCGTGAGTGAAAGGAGGTCCGCGAAAACAGGGGCTTCGATATATGAATAGCACAGCGATCCCGCATTTTTAACGTTCATTTGTTGACATTTGTTTCGTACGTAAGTGCGACATCTTAAAATGCAACGTACCGTGTGCCGTGCCATGCGAGGTGAACTTTCGATAGTGGAGGTCACTGAATGCTGGTTATAAGACTTCGGGAAAGAGCGAAAGCTTCGTTCACTGACGCGCACGCACGCACGCACGCACGCACACACACACACACACACACACACACACACACACACACACACACACACACACACACAACCAAGCTCTCTCGCTCGTTCACGCAGTTTGTGCGAACACCGAATCCTTTGACCAATCGCAGCGGTAACACTTCCGGCAACCTGTATTTATTAATTTGTGGCATGAAATAATGAGGACGGTGAAAGTATGGGGAGAAAGAACGAAGGAGTTAGATGAGACTGAAAGAGCAATTCGCTTGTCCCGCTATCCTGTTGACCAAACAGATGAATCGGTCGGCGAGCCTGGCCCCAGCGTCATGTCCATGTCTAGGTTTCGTCAGATTGGTGACGAACAGCGTCTCGATCCTTCCTTGCGGTCACTCATTGCGCGTCTGGAATCTGACCCTAACGACGTGTCACTCCGCATGTTCGTTCTCCTAAATGGCACGCTGTACCGTCGTAGCGTCCAGCCACATGGCCCTGAGCTACTTCTAGTCGTGCCTAAGCATCTCCGTTCAGCGGTCCTGCATGAGCTTCCCGACGAACCAACTGCCGGCCACTTGGGTGTATCTCGCACGTACGACCTCGTCCGGCGCCGCTTCTTTTGGCGTGGTCTCGCGTGGTCGGTTCGACGCTACGTGGCGTCCTGCGATAAATGCCAACGTCGAAAACGACCTGCCGCACCCCCTGCTGGTCTCCTCCACCCGATCTCAATCCCTACCGAACCTTCAATCTTCCGTGTTGGTGTAGACCTTCTCAGACCGTTCCCTGAATCAAACTCAGGGAACAAGTGGGTCGCCGTTGTTATTGACCATGCGACCAGGTTTGCCATCACTAGATCGCTCCCCACCAGCACTGCTACTGGCGTTGCCAACTTTTTGCTCCACAATGTAATTCTACATCATGGCGCTCCTCGAAAATTGCTCACCGATCATGGACGCGCATTTTTGTAACGCGTACTCGACGACCTTTTGCGCTCTTCTTCAACGCAACACGAACTGACCACTTCCTACCATCCTCAAACAAATGGCCTTACCGAACGCTTACATCACACTTTCACGGACATGCTCTCGATGTATGTCTCATCTGATCACCATGACTGGGATCTAGCGCTACCTCACGTGACATTCGCCTATAATTCATCTCGTCATGATACAGCAGGTTATTCACCTTTTTATATGCTCTATGGCCGTAATCCGACCTTACCACTGGACACCCTACCACCGACTACTATACCTCCGCCGAGCGAATACGCACGTGATGCCATCGCTCGTGCCGACCACGCACGTCAGATTGCCAGCTCTAGGCTGTTGGCTTCACAAGCGACCCAGAAGGCTCTCCACGACAGGTTCTCTGGTTCTTCTCTGGTTCCCAGTTCGTCGTGTTGGATTGTCAGAGAAGTTGCTATCTCCGTACATGGGACCTTACCGTATCATACGACGGGTAACGGACGTTAGGTATGAGGTCATTCCAGTCTCCGGGACTAACCTGTTTGCAAACACCCCTAGTGACGTAGTCCACGTCAGTAGGCTGAAACCACACCACCCTCCTTCTGAAGAACACATATAAAGTGCACCGAGCCGGTGCTTTTACAACCGGGGGGTAATGCTACGTAGCTATCGCATGAAGGGTGAACTATTCTGTGGACAGAAGACGACGAAGAGGTCTGGTTTGCTCGCTTTGTGTGCTGCGCTCCGATTTTATCGGTGTAAATACACTGGCAAATAGTCACGTCTCGTCTCATTTTACGTAACAATATGTAGCAAATAAAGTGGGACAAAAAGAAAGTAAGGAAAACAGACAGAAGAGAGAAAACTAAAAGTTCTCAGCAATTTCTTCACGTTCTCGCTGGTCTTACGGAGCCTGCACAAAACAAAGTATGTCATTCTTTCCTGTGCATGACAGCATCATCATCCCGACCATGGAAACAAGCAAGACGAGGGACCCATCTTAAGACTTAATCAACATCATGTCAGCTAGACTACCACCCAATGAGCCTTTATTTATTTATTTATTTACTTATTTCTATTTTTCTTTCTTTCTTTCTTTCTTTCTTTCTTTCTTTCTTTCTCTCTTTCTTTCTTTCTTTCTTTCTTGTCATAACGACTCGTACAAGAAGTCGCATAGATTACAGGTCTTCACAGCCCTTGGCGAGGAAGTTAATTACCTCCAGAAAGCGTGAGCACGTGAGCAGACGAACGACAAGAAAAGGAAACTGTGAGCGGAAAAGAAGGCGATCGCTAAGGACGCATGACGTGGCCCCGTTATGTACAGGTCGACTATTGGCGTAGAATATCAGCCGTCATGCAGACACTGCGGAATCAGGGCGTCGATGAAGTATATATAAACATTCTGGAAGAAATCTACAGGTGATCAACTGCTACCATAGTTCTTCATAAAGAAAGCAACACAATACCGATCAACAAGGGTGTAAGGCAGGGGGACACAATCTTTCCAATGCTATTTACCGCGTGCTTACAGGAGGTTTTCAGAAGCCTAGAATGGGAACAGTTAGGGATAAGAGTTAATGGTGAGTACCTTAGTAACCTGCGCTTCGCCGATGACATTGCATTGCTGAGTAACTCAGGGGACGAATTGCAACTCATGATTACGGAGTTAGACAAGGAGAGCAGAAAGGTGGGTCTTAAAATTCATCTGCGGAAAACGAAAGTAATGTACAACAACCTCGGAAAAGAGCAGCGCTTCGAGATAGGTAATAGTGCACTTCAAGTTGTAAAAGACTATGCCTACTTAGGGCAGGTAATAACAGCGGAGCCAAACCACGAGATTGAAGTAACCAGAAGAATAAGAATGGGGTGGAGCACATTTGGCAAGCACTCTCAAATCATGACAGGTAGATTGCCACTATCCCTCAAGAGGAAAGTGTATAACAGCTGCATATTGCCGGTACTTAGCTACAGAGCAGAAACCTGGAGACTTACAAAGAGGGTTCAGCTTACGTTGAGGACGACGCAGCGAGCGATGGAAAGAAAAATGTTAGGTGTAACCTTAAGAGACAAGAAGAGAGCAGAGTGGATTAGGGAACAAACGGGGGTTAAGGATATCATAGCTGAAATCAAGAAGAGGAAATGGACATGGGCCGGGAATGTAGCACGTAGACAGGATAACCGCTGGTCATTAAGGGTAACTGACTGGATTCCCAGAGAAGGCAAGCGGGTTCGGGGGAGACAGAAGGTTAGGTGGGCAGATGAGATTAAGAAGTTTGCGGGTATAAATTGGCAGCAGCAAGCACAGGACCGGGTTAACTGGCGGAACATGGGAGAGGCCTTTGTCCTGCAGTGGACGTAGTCAGGCTGATGATGATGATGATGATTGGCGTAGACAAGAGAGGCGAAGTCCTCCGACCACACTCTCCGATATTTTCAAATCTGCATCTGTATATCATAGACGCACACCAAAAAAAAAAAAACGCATGCGCGAAGCACATAAAGATTGGACCTTAGACGGGCATGATGGCGTCCGCGAAAACCGTCGAAAGCGTCCATATATGTGCTCTCGCATTAAAGGCGTGTTCCACACATAGCCGTCATAATTACGACCTCCAATGACTAACACTCCCGATAGCTGCCGGGTTCGCATGCGCAGAAATAAACAATTTTACGGAAGGAAGACCACCGCCGTATGGTAGAGCACATCCCAAGTTCGGTCCATACCAGTGGCAACTTGTCTTTTCGTCCACTTTAATTTGTTTGCATCATAATTAATAATACACTACAATTGAGTGACTACAAATAATGCCCACATATACTTCCTTTGCTTTCGTCATTCTCAACAAGACTCACGGCCTGGCAGTCCTGCTGCTGCGACGGGGGTTCGGAAATGAGCTTGGCGTGCGGGGAACTGTCCGGACTGGCATCGGTGCTGGTCTCTCCATCGCTCTCCGACGGCTCCTCGTGGAGGACCACCACTTTTTTCCTCGTCGACGGCTCGGGCACAATGTACGTGACCACCTCTTCCGGACTGGGCGTCCGGGAACCCACCAGGTCCACCTGGATTTCGGGAGGAGTCTGCGTGCGAAAGCGAGGGAGAATGCTTATGGTCGTCTCCTCCTCCTCCTCACGCTCCGACACGCTGCAATCATTCTAATCACAATTAACAGCTACAGCAAAAAAAAAAAAAACTGCCAAGCATTTCCCCGAGGGTGAACATGGTTAAGTGCGAATACACGGGGTGATGCTATGAGGGGTATTTATTAATTCGCACTATTATATTTATTAATCACACCATGGTGCCTTTATGGTGTAATGGTTCCTGGGAATCGCAATTTGATCACACGGGGGAGTTTACGTTAACTCACTGGCGAATGCCAACGGATTTTAACTTTACTCCCCCTCACGATCCGCTCTCGACAAGAGACTGAGAGAGAAGGCGGGCGCGCGAGAGAGAGGGGTGCGCGCGCAGCTGCAGCGAGCGAGCGAAGGGGGAGGGGGACGCGCGAAGCGGCGTTAAAGATATAAGGCGCGTTACTGACACCGATATCAGCGTCGCGTCCGTGGTTTATTCGGTAGAGCGTCGCGCTGCGGCCCGCCAAGTGCTCTTTCTTTTAAAGATATAGAGAAGACTGCGGACGCCACCGACGGCGGTGGATGGTTTGGGTTCGCTTATAAAGTGTATTCACACTTAAAAAGAAAGTCTACCCGTGCGCCGCATTCCCAACACAATACATACAACCAGACATCTGCTGTATCTTAAGGCGGATGCCTTGCATGCCTCATGAAATACGAAATTTGACCGTCGGCGTCTGTTTTCTCGTGGCGTCGAGAACGAGTGACGCAAAGATCATCTTCACGTGATGGCGTCACCATACGGATTCACAACGACGCCACAGATCACTAAGGAATGTGACGTCATCGTGTCGTCACGCTGTAGCTTCAAGTCATATGATGAGGTTAACGCATGACAGCAATACTTGGTCAAAGGTAGAGTTACTGTATATGCTACGTTTATGTTACTGTATATGCTACCTACATATTACTGTATATATTACTGTACATGCTGTATATATTACAGCATATACAGGAATATGTATATACTGTATATATTACTGTATATGCTACCTAAAGGTGACATATACAGTAACTCTAATAAAAGGCAGTGCGATCACGGAGGCAATGCAAAACCGAACGAGCTTCCTTTAATGTTGGAGGCAGCGCAAAAAGCGTGCTAGGTGCAGAAAGATTTCGAAGGGTGACGGGACAGGAGCAATACATATCGATGGAGAAAGAAAAAAAAAACGATGGATTTCGTCTTCCAGCCGTCGTAAGCATGGGTATACACCTTCCCTGCCTTTCCTGGAAAGCGGGTTTATAATCAGCTATACCTCACACGGTTAAAGAAGTACTGACACGAATTAAAAAAAAAGATTGTTGCTCTAAATAATGATACTGGTGTCTAAAAACCTAAAACGAGTTCTGCGGTGCACGGAAATGCATCTAATATATTTTTATTACTGCTACCTAAAAAAAAAAACTACTTTGGTTTCTGTATTGAGGGGGCGGCGTCTCAGTTACGTGTCAGTGTGACGTCACGAGGAGACAGCAAGTGGAGACGTATACGGAAAATCTGTTATCCGCTCGTGGTGCATATAAACAACGAAAAGTGACTTGTAGTCCAGCCACCCTGACAGGGTATTCTGCGATTCAGGATGCGTGCAGGACGCAGAGCCAGCAAAATCAGAAACTGTCTTGACTGGCTGGTATAAGGTCCATTGCAGTGGAGCTGTCTTGCATATGCCGAGCTACGAAAACTTTGAAATCAAAATAAAATATTTTATACGTGTTGTCCGACTCCGGCGCGTGGAAAGCGTTGGCACTTAATACTACGGAAACGGAAACTGTCCCTTTTGCGATGAAGTCAAATCGCGTCAGTGCTCCTTTAAGGAAAAAGAAAACAAGAAACATAAAAAGAGGGGAGTACGATGACAAGTGAATATGGTGATGATAATGATATGTGGGGTTTAACGGCCCAAAACCACCATATGATTATGAGAGACCCCGTAGCGGAGGGCTCCGAAAATTTTGACCACCTGGGGTTCTTTAACGTGCGCCAAAATTTGAGCACACGGGCCTACAGCATTTCCGCCCCAATCGGAAATGCAGCCGCCGCAGCCGGAATTCGATCCCGCGACCTGCGGGTCAGCAGCCGAGTACCTTAGCCACTAGACCACCGCGGCGAGGTGAATATGGTATAGCACAATGAGTCGCTGTGCACACAGTGTCCTGTGCGGGGACGTGTACTCCGCACGAATGCTTTCACACCATAGCACATAAGCGCGTCTCTTCTTTCCGCTTTATTAAACATTATATCTTTCCGTCTGCAATCCCTACCATGAGTTTTTTTTTCTTTCTCGGTGCCCTTTTGCGAAACACAGATTACGACACCCCGGAATCAAGAAGAGGAAAATCTTCGTGGACAACGTGCCTTGACGGGTCCCGCCGTGATGTCGGTGAGCCTCCTGGGCGGTGGGGGGTCTTCCTCTTCGTCTTCCTCGTCGACCTCGTCGATGCGGAACTGCTGCCTCTGCGCCACCTCGCGGGCACGGTGGATCAGATCGCACACGAACTGGCTGGCCACCTCGCGCAGTTCGCACGACGGTGCCTCAGGTGCGTCTCCAGAGGAAGAGCCCGTGCCGGAGACTGTCTTGCTGCGCTGCTGCTGATGCTGAGGCTGCAGTGGCTCGCATTCACCCTGCGCACATGACTGCATAATATAGACACTCGACGTTACTCGCACGAAAAGTGCGGCCGAGACAAATAACCATAGAAAGTTCCGGTCTCTCCCACGCAGGGCGCCGCTGACCGGTAGATTTGATCGCGTATTACAATTCCCTCAAGAGAACCTTACTGAGGTCTACAAGGGCCTAGAAGGTGCGCATCAGAATTCCCATAACAGTTCTTACAACGGAAGGTAGCTGACGTGAGTATTAAATATCAACATCATCACAATCACCATAATTTTCCTAAACCCGCCTACTGCAGGGCAATGTTAAATATAAGAACTTACAAAAAAAAAAGACAACGACTTTGCGAAGGGGTCACATTTTATGATTCGAACAAAAAAGAAAAGTATCCTAATTTGGGACAGGGCTTTAAAATATAAGGCAGAAAGATACCTTAGATGTACAAAACGATAATATTTGTGTCGGTTCAAGTTTACCATAGAGGGAAACAATGTGATTTTAAGGCGGTATAAGACGAAAAAAGGCAAGGACAAGTAACATGCAAAATTAGAAGTAAACAAGCGACCGATAGTGATGAAAGGAGATTGACATAGGAGACGAAAGATTGCTCACCACACTGTAAGAGAATAGCGCACAGCTCACACTTGAGAATCTATTGACAGTGTCGAATATCGAACGAACAAAAGTGACAGTGGAGCCAATGAACACCGATCCAAAAACAAACAAGCAAACAAACAAACAAACAACAAACAAACAAACAAACAAACAAACAAACAAACAAACAAACAAATTAACAAACATACTAACTAACTACTCATCTAACTAACTAACTAACTAACTAACTAAATAACTAACTAACTAACTAACTAACTAACTAACTAACTAACTAACTAACTAACTAACTCAAGTTCGCGCACCTTGGTAATGTCACCATTCGGCTGATCAGTCGCTTCCGTCGACAACTCCTCTTCTGAAACGAGAAAAAAAGAACAAAAGACATGTAAGTGGCATCGCCTCGCACCCAGAAGCGCGACAGATAACAATCCCGGCCGCGGCGGTAATGGAGGGGAAAGGGTAGAGGCCCTGTGATGGCAAAATTCTACAAGGCCTCCACTACAACAGCTCATAATCACATCTTAGTTTTGCAATGTAAATACCCACATATTATTATTATTATTATTATTATTATTATTATTATTATTATTATTATTATTATTATTATTATTATTATTATTATTATTATTATTATTACTATTATTAAAATAAAAGGAAAGAAACTGTACAACAACGTAATCAATTCCCGAATAGAAATAATACCTAATTAATCGTCGTCAACGAATCAATTCTCTAAATTTAAATCGAACTTTTGCAAAGTCTGTTCGCATAATGAATGTTTAAATATCTGCTCCACTCCAAAAGTGACCACAGATTCAAAATAATAAAAAAAATCTGTTATTGTCATTGCCGCTCCGCGAAGAAATTTGAAAGATCACGCATTTACCCTCAAACTCACAAAATCGTAAAAGTAATGAGGATGCATAATTTTGTGAAAAGATGTTTAAATAGCGACAGGTCCAGAAGCGCGCTGAAAATACGCTCGATAGCTTTGAGAGAACATACACCTTTCACGAAAAATAAGAATGTAGCCATATTTTATTTATAATTCAATATTTCACACAGCGATACAGGCGAGCTTCTTGGAACTACTCGACTGTGCCCCGAATGAGAGCCGCAGCGTCTTACAAGTCGTAAATAAACATAGGGGTTCAATGTTAGCCCTGAAAATTACACTAGAAATAAAATGATCAATTCTTACTAGGTGGAGCGAGCCGTCATAGAGCAGCCGTCATAGAAACGCGGTGCAACACCGAAAATGAAACCGAAACTGGATGAAACGATTGTACGAAACAGCGTCTCTCGTTTTGAGAGTGAAGGCGAATGCGAAACTCCGCCTGAGAGCGGAGCAGCCATTTTCAACATGTTCTCTTTCCTGACTGCCCCTCTTGCCTCGTGCTGAACGTGCGTTCCGTGTCCGTCAGCTCACTTACAACATGGGTCGTTCGAAAAGCATTCCCGACCGGTGGCTAGACTACAGCGAGGTTGGAGGTGTCGTGCCCGGAACGCGGTTCATAGCATTCAAGGTGCCGCTTCGTGAATCGATATGCTCCCGCATGCCAGCGAGCAAACGCTTCACACCGCACGATCTTCTGCAGCGAATACAGGGCCTAGGCCTCGTGATTGATTTGACGTGCACGAACCGCTACTACGACCCCGATTCTCTCGTCAATCGTGGCATCCTCCACGCCAAAATCATGTGCGCCGGCCAGCAAATACCCAGCGACGGTGTGGTGAGCGAGTTTTTCCGTGCCGTCGACGCCTTCCTCTCTGACCCCGTGAACAGCGGCAAATTGATAGGTGTGCACTGTACTCACGGCGTTAACAGGACGGGGTATCTAGTCTGCAAGTACATGATCCAGAAGCTGAGTGTCGCACCCGCGACAGCCATTGAGCAGTTTCAGAATGCCCGCGGCCACAAGTTCGACAGGGATGAATACGTCAGCGACCTACAACGTGTCGGAGGGCAAGTGCCTACACTGGGTCTTAGCGGTGATGACAGGCGACTACAAGTCTGCCAGCCTGCTCAAGGCGCCAGCAGGGAAGACCAGTACGTCCGCAACTTTTTAAGTAGCGACAGACGACAATACGTCGGCAACATACAATGCTCCAGAGACGCCGGCAGTAGGCTTCCCGGAGTGGCTGCACCTTTTCCAGCTGATGGTGACGTTTACTGGGACTCCAACAGCCATGCAGCGAGCGGCACATTTCCTTACGGGCTCAGTGCATGGAACGCCGCACGAAGTGAAGGTTATGCACGTGAGTATGGTAACACACGTGACATGTGCGCGTTGCCGCCCCAGTTCAGTGATATGCGATCGCAGACCCCGACTTACCAAAATGGCATTGCCCCTCAGGCCCAGTGCGTTTGTCCCGGTGCGTCCACAACACACTTACAGTCACCAAAGTGCCTTGCCATCCCAGGCAAACATGTACAATGAGCAGTCGCAAGGACAAAGCTACAGCCATCACAGCGGCATGGCTCATTCGATGCAGCCTCAGCACAGCTTTTACGATGCAAGGCCGCAAGTGCAGGGCTACGGTAATCATGGTCGTCATGGCACCTGAGCTAAGCAGTTTCAATGCACCACTGCAAGGCCCTCGTTACAGTCAACCCAGTGGCACGTCACTGCAGCAGAATGTACCCCATGCACCATCAATAGGGACCAGTGCGATCTCCATCCCGAGTGAGGAGCCCAAATGTTACTGCTGACATGCACGGTGGGCATGGTGGACACAAGCCATACAGTCATGATGAAAGACAGTACTGGTGACGCTAGCAGTGCTACGAAGACTACTTGCTTCGCCAGAAAGTGTTCTTAGTCATAAAGACTTTGTCACTTTGCTTTTGTCGCCAACCTGCAGTGATGGAAATTTTTTGTATAGTGCATGAAGCACACACAAATAAAAATTATGTAACATTATTCTGTAATGGGGACAGAACTATTTATGCATAAAAAATCATTTAATCGTGTACCAAGTAAAGGTATGCATTGGCAGTGTCAGTTGAGGTGAACACCCAGTAGCGCAGTTATCTAGTGCTATATCTACAGCACTGGAGTGGAACTTGAGCAAAATTTTCAGCAGAGAGAAAACTGACAGAATATACAAGATGTTTGTGGTGAGTCTTTAGTTTCCTTCCTGTGCTGCATATGACGATTGTGTAGACTGCGTTTTCTTTAATTTCATCGACCAGTGTAGCACAACAAGGACGAGGAAAGAAAGCTCAAGCTCAGAGTCCTCTCTCTCGGTTCCTGTCGTGCCGTACTGTCTCATGGAGTGAAATCCCAACCATCTACCCCGGCTGTGCGTCCTTGTTTTTTCTTGTTTATTTTTTTTTGCTGGGCTGCTGCTTATCTGCTATTACTGCAAGTGTTTTCTTGCTGTCGGGTTGCAGATATTCGTGATACGCTTCACTCAGTTGCTTCTTAGGCGCTAGACAACTGGCTTTGTCCTTTGGACATAATTTAAAAAGCTTGCTCAATTTAGCTGTGCAACCTTTCAGCAAAGCTTTTTTCTTATTTTGGTGCATGTATTCTTTTAAAGACAGCTGCATTTTGCAAGAATGTCTTTCTACTCTGTGTAAACATTAAGAGTTGCAATGCTGGGTGAATAATAATTCAAGTACTTGTTTAAATTTATTTTTGGAAATAAATTATTCATGAACACTGCTTACATTCTTGGCCACAGCATCCACATTTTAATTGCTAGGAAATGTGAAAATGCTAGTGCAACAGGACCCGGAAGTACCGAAAAAAAGTCTCCAGGTAATCAGAAATACCCAACAGTTGCTTGCCATGGCATGTCTTACAATCACAACATAGTTTCGTCATGTATAACCCTTCATTTTTTGTGTGCCACTGATGTCAATTTTTCAGTCAATCACAAAAAACGGGAGTTGTGTGCTTGAGCTGACATTTAGACAAGTCTTCAAGGCTAGAACGGATTTTCTTACCGCTGGCATGTATGTGTTTGCAAGTCTTGCACACACATTCAAGATGACGTGATAGTCAAAAGCACTGCAAGTGATTACATCCATAATATAAAATCTTGCTTTACTTGCATGAGCTCAAACATTATGTACATGTTCATATTCTAATGCTACCGAAATGGGACAGCCTGTTAATGCTAGATTAAACGTGCACCACACGAACACTGCAATGAAATTACTGAAAGCAGTGGCACAGCGTTTTGATGCAGCCGAACACGACTTTGACTATCTCAAAGTTCTGGTCTGCAAATGACAGAAAATGTACAGTCATACCTTATCCACAGGTTCAATACCAGCCGGCATAAATGCTTCTAAATAGGCTCCTGAATGGGTTTGATATAGTACATACATGAAGGAAACCAATGAAAGCTAAGCCCTCCTCCTGAGAAATTTAAACCTAACATTTTTAAGTGGTGCTTCTGACAACCATGATGCAGCGGAATGCCTATACCACCACCTTCCCTCAAGGTTCTTTTTCTTCTTTTTATTCACAAAATACAGCCTTCGTTTGCACTACCACTATTTGTGACAGCATCCCTCACCCTCTCTACATTTGCCCTCTCCCAGTCCTTTGTTAAGACGGAGGAGACGTTACAAAGCATACACACGCTAGCTCTAAAAAAATAAGTTCTAGCCTTGAAAAGCGACAAGTCCACTTGTCGAAACATCAGTTTGAGCACACAAACCCTGTTTTCAGCATTTTTTTTCACTGCAAGCTTCTGTTTTAGTGATGTAGTAATGAATCATCTGTGCTTTTTTCTAAGCCTTGTTTCAAGACTAAATCGAAGAAGTTCTAAGTTAGTACACCAAAGCTTTCATTGTGGTGGCACCACTGAAAGTCTTAACAATCTCGTAACTGCCCTGCAGTTTGCAGTAATTTAGGCGCTATCTGGCCACTCATCACTGGTAGTAAAAGCAGCCAGCCCTGTCTGCACTCTTAAGAATGTATGCCTTGCCCTGTTTAATTAAAATAATTGTGAAGACTCCTAGCCTTGTAAAACAATGGCGCATACATTCATATTACCGTACACATTTAAAAATGCTTGATTATATTAGGCAACAAATTTATAAGTTGTCTTTTTAAAAGATTAGGAGTATTCTTCTTACATGATTGTCATGCAAACGAGGCCAGTCATAGTTCATAGCTTAGTAGTAATGAATAAAAAGTCAGAATGTTATGTCTACAAAAGTGCTTTGCAATCTTTTTAAAGATAATTTGAGTGAAATGATGCTTTTTCAGCTCTAGTAAAAGAAAGTTTGCAAGGGTGAAGATGTGCTTTTTTTCGTCATGAAATGAGGGACAGTAACCACTGCTAACTTATGTTAAGGCGCTGGCATAGAATAATTAGGCTTTACCTGTATGCAAAATATTTTGTTGTGCGCTCAGTAGGAGTTTGAATTACCATTTAAGGCTTGTGCCATAATCTCACTCTTCCAATTGTCTTCACTGCCCCGCCGTGGTGGTCTAGTGGCTAAGGTACTCGGCTGCTGACCCGCAGGTCGCGGGTTCGAATCTCGGCTGTGGCGGCTGCATTTCCGATGGAGGCGGAAATGTTAGAGGCCCGTGTACTCAGATTTGGGTGCACGTTAAAGAACCCCAGGTGGTCAAAATTTCCGGAGCCCTCCACTACGGCGTCTCTCATAATCAAGTGGTGGTTTTGGGACGTTAAACCCCACAAATCAATCAATCGTCTTCACTGTTTTTACATAGAACTAGAGTTCAAACAAGAACAGAATTCGTGGTTGCTTACTAGCAGGTTAGCTGCAATGAGTAATGAATATAGTGTACAGGGCAGCTGTCAGTATTACAGTGTGGGTGACTCGAAGTCATTGGTGCAGCAATGTTGCATTCAGAAATGCATTTGTACGTCCCTTATGAGGCTGCTGGAAACAAACTGCTTGCATGTAAGCACATATTGCAAGTAATGTGAGCTCCGTAGTGTTTGCATATCTTGCTGTCCAGGAAAGGCAGCCTCTAACTTTGGTAACGAAAATGCATAGCGATGGTGTAACTTGATCCACTGCAAGTTGGGTGAATACTGATACTGCAAGTTAGGCCCGCTCTTACAGATATGGAATAGAACAGAAAGAACGCATGGCACTTGCCTTCACTCTCGAAGTTTCTGTGTACCTGGGATACTTCGTGTAGAACAAATACCAGGAACACTCGCTTGCCCCACCTCCCCTTTTCCACTCAAATGCGTGCTGTTTTGCGTGCCCACTTCCTTTCCTCGTGAAAAAAATTTCTCGTTGCACCATTGCTCCACACTAAGAAGTACGAATAATGGTGTTGAGTTTCCCCAATTGTGGAATATAGAAACTAAAAAGCACAGCACCCTCCCTCAGCATTAATATCATTGGTGAACGAACTGCCAACAAGTTTGTTCATAATATCACTCAGATTTTTATCACTTCATGTGATAACTGCATGGTTTTTGTCATGCAGAGTGCTCATAGAATTAAATGCTGTATCAAAAGTGGTAAGATAAATGGTATGTGCAACTGCTCAAAATGAACACGGTGTTTTGCTACAAATTTGGTCAAAACAGGTAATGCCAGCTCTCGCGTTACTGTATGAGCAACTATTGTGTCCATACAATGCAAAATGAAGACTGAAGTATTTGTATCACTTAACCCTATTTAGACTCATTTCTTTCCCTGAGCACCTCACACTTAGGTTGGGGCTTAGAAAATTCACTGCATTTGCGCACACAGAAGTGCAGTGCGGTGTTCTTGAGTTGGTGCTCACTAGAGCTGTGGTTCTTAATGCGGTCCCACTTACATATTTCTCCAAGCTATTACAGTGAAGTCATATCATACTACAAAGCCAAAGCAAGCTGGCAATGATACTGGACAGCTGAAACATTCTTGTATGAGCTGGCCAGCATATCGGAGATAATTTATGAAGCAATTCTTTTTAACAAAGATGGCTGGAGATGGCTAACAAAGATGGCATGGTGACAGCAAGCATTGGGTGGCTAGATTGTTAGCTGTGATGTTGCCGTAGATAGTGCCAAATAGAGCTTGACCTTCTGTGCCATTGGCTATAATTGCCATTAAATGTGTGGTGTTGTGCGACTATCATGCAAATTACTGCAGCTTTGAAATTATTGTAATTAACATAAAACTAATTACATTTAGGTACTTGCTTAATAAATGCCATTTGAAACATAGAATATTCACAAAAAATTGACGCATATGAAGATGTTAGTAAAGCTAGTGGTTTTTTGTTATCCTGATGACAACAAAAAAAAGTCACATAAATTTGACATGAAGTGGGATTGTTACAGGCATAGGTTAGACACAGTTAATGTGAACCTCATTGATGGTTCACAGCAGTTAAGTTCATTTGTAAACCTAATGGCACTGATTTTAATTTCTGTGATAACATTGAGTGCAAGTGAAATTAAGCTCATTTTATATATGATATTACAACTAATTAGGGTAACATTTATTTATATTATGTCTCAGCACATATCATGACTAGCATATTCCTGTGTCTAGTGATGTTGCAAGATTTATGACCGTGAAAAAAAAAAGTGAAGAATTTGTTAGGTAAAGGAAAGTCTACAAAGTGCCAGGCATGTTTGTTTGTTCATGTTTGTTAAATGTATTGTATAAACAGTGATATTTGATTTGTGCAAATACTCTCATTTTGTACTGTATACAACATGCTATATCACAGGGTATTTATGTGAAGGATCTCTGATTACTTCTAAGATAACAGTTACTGTAACGGCACATTTGTAATACATTTATGCCTTCTCATACAAAAACAATGAAAGATTGAACATTTTTCCTAATGAGAGAAAATTGTAATTATTGATGTAAGTGTATTTTATTCAGGGAAGAAAGATGATTTTATAACACATGATTTCTTGATCAAATTATTTATATTTTTGCAATACTGGTGAGTATATGCATATTTGAGAAAGCATTAAAGTGGTGAATTGTGAGCTTCAAGTTTGTTGTATAAGTCATGTCACTTATTTGTTCTGGTGAATTTGAGCATTGGTTTGTCTGCAGGCATCGTACAACATTCACTCTCAAGTTGCAACAGAAGTAAAAAAAAAAGCCCTTCAGACATCCCGAACACTGAAAACAGTTCAATGAACAGCACAGAACTTCAATTGGTTGTTAATGTGCTATTGTACTTTTTGTGAATTGTACTTCATTTTGATTTTCACCCAAGCTTTTCATTAACTCAACTATCTGTGAGAATTCTGTAAGGAGAAATATGCCACAACTCTCCTGTGAAAGGGGTAGACAGCCAGAGGGGCGGTTCGGTGGTTTGCCTCCCCTTCCTGCCCCACATTTTTGTATTTTACATGTGCACGAATAAGGACACACATGTAAACACATGCGTAAACATACATAGAGCTAAGTCAGCGCCCCTGCCTCCAAACAAAATTTCTGGATATGGCTCTGGAAGATGGCATATATCTTTCAATGTAAGAGTAGAATCTTAGGCTAGTTGGAATGTACTCATAATGACAACTTTTTCAGCACGCAAATATAGAAAAAAAGTAGACAGATTTGACAGAAGGAGCACTCTTTTTGTCTACTATGTCTTTTTTCCTATGTTCGCATGCTGAAAACATTGTACATTATGATCTTTCGATGTAATCAACAAATAGAAAAGTTTGGACTTCAGTGAACGTGGCTTTATTATCGCGATGTAGTT